ACCCCAAATTCTGGAGTTCTCTAGCAGCAGGATTCCAGGGCACATTCCCATCCAACAGAACTTCTTTTCTCTCCTTCTGGCTTCATTCACCAATCCAGCAGCTGTAAAGCCTTTCATCTGTGGTGTAAGGCAGTATCTGGCATGACTTTACCTGCTGCAGGTGTTGCGAGTGCCACCTGGATATGGGCAGCTGGCAGTTTCTTGGTTCTGTACACCTTGCTCCTGGAAATCTGACTCCTGTAGTTACCACTGTGCCCTTCATGTATCCTCCTAAGTCCATATCAACCTCCAGCCAAACGAGTCACACAACTGGCAAGGCTGGCCTCCTGCATCCCATGGATACAGTTCTCAGGCTTGTCCCCTGGGCTTCCCTGAGTTTCTAATATAATAGGACTTATGGTGATTTAAGTATAGATTACAGAGGAACTGCCTATATGTAATAATATGGTGTCTGTACAATATACAGACACCAAAACATCCTACTTCACAGAGTATACAATAGATGTTTAGGCACTGCATACATATTCTTAAAACAAAAACCTAAACTGGTAACTGATGGAAAATGGACAAAGCAACTATAGTGTATTTATGCTATATAATCTTATACAGTAACAAAAATCAACAAACTTTATGTAACAGAATGGGTGAATCTTACATACTGTTGTATGGAAAAATTTCACAGAAGACCATATAGTTGTACTTTTATAAAACCTCAAACTAGCAAAGGTAAATTATTTTTATTTTTAAAAACATACATTAATTATCAAATATTAAAAAGATTATTATCTTTTAAAAAGTAAGTAATACTCATAAAATTCTGGAAAGCAGTTATCTTCAGGGAGTGAGGCAGGGAATGATTAGACAGTAATATGAATGTGGATATGTCAGTAACAGTAATTTTCCAGTTCTATACTTAGGTAGTGGTTTTTGTCATGTTGTTATATATTGTGGAGTCAAAACAGGTCCTTCAGTGGGTTTCCTATTCATATGAGAGGATATTGTCCATATTTCTCAAAACACATGCCTTTGCACTGGCAATGCAATTTACTCAAGCTTTTTTTTAGGTTAAGCATCTCTACAATTAAGAGGTTCTGGTGCCCTTAATTATAAGGAACTGTGCTGTCAACTCAAAGGCAGTATTTCTCTGGAGGAATAACTGTACCAGTAGCTCCGCAGAAGCAAGAGAAGCAACATGTTCCCCTTGTCTGCAGCCTGAGAAAGCCAATAAAGGATTAGCTATGAGTCAGAACTAAGATTCCTACCTTTATAGAATTCTGCATTACATCAATAAATCTGCCAGTTGACTCGGGATTCGCCATTTTTTTTTATTAAGGGGAGAAACATATTCACCACTACACAAGAATTAATAACTATAAAGATAGTAACAGACTACAAAACACTCTTCTCATACATTATTTATTTCACGGTCATGTGTAAATAGTTGAGAAAGTCACTGTTAAATGTGCAAACGTGTAGGGTCTTTTATGCATTTATATAAAATTATTATCTACAAACTTGGAATATATAGTTGGCAACACTGGAAGTGAAAACTATCTAGGAACAAAGAAACATCTTAGGTTCACCATGCTTAGAAATCTAACTGCAAGAATTTCATAGAAAAATCTAGAGGGTTTAACTGGAGTTTTTAAATTAATCTGACTTTACATTGTTCCTACTGTTAAGCACTACTTAAGTTAACTTACATAGCAACCCTATGTACAACAGATCTAAACTTTGCTTGATGCAGTGATATTCTTGCAATCTCCACTGTGCTTAAGTCCACTGCTGCATTCATTGAGTCAATCTATTTCTGACAGTCCACTTTTTCAACAATCATGTTCTTTTTCCAGGGACAGGCCCCTCCAGACTCAAACAAAGTGAGATGAAGTAGCAGTATCCTTGCCTCTAAGCCTGCACCCTGGCTGTACGTCTCCTAACAAAAATTTGCTGTTCTTCTGGTGGTCCTTGGTATACTCAATACCCTTCACCAACACCACACATCAAAGGCATCAATTCTTTTTTAATTATTGTCCAATTTTAAATGCATATGAAACAACTGAAAATAACAAGTCAGCTTAGTCTTTAAACTGACATCCTTGCTTTATGTAACTTTATTTTTCCTCTCTATATATATCTTTAATGAGATCTGTGACAGTAGACAAGCCTAATACACTATCGGGCTGTCTTCAGATATTTTTTTTTTAAATTCTGGGTATTGACTATGGATCCAAATTAAGTAAAACCCTCTACAACTTCAGTTTCTTTTCTCAAGGTATCATGATATTGCTTTAGTTGTGAAGATTTTAGTTGTCTTATTCAGATATAATCCATACTGAAGGTTACAATCTTTGATCTTATTCAGTAAGTGCTTGAAGTCTTCTTAACTTTCCTTAAGCAAGGCTGCACGGTTTGCATACCATAAGTTAACTGATGAATCTTTCCACCATACTGATATTCCTTTTCCCTTCATATACTGCAGCTTTGGATTATTTGCTCAGCAAACCGATTGAATAGGTGTACTGAAAGGCTATAACCCTGACACACATCTGTTCTGATTTTAAACCATCTAGTTTATGCCCTTTTTGTGTTTGAACAAATGCTGCCTGGCTCACATATTTCATATGAGCACAACTAAGAAGAATTCTGGAATTTTCATTCTTCTCAATGTTATCCATAATTTGTTATGATCCACAGAGTCAAATGCCTATGCAAAGAATTTCTGGGATTCTCTGCTTTCAGACAAGATCCATCTGATATCAAATACAATATTGCTTAAATAGCCTCTTCTTAATCCAGCTTTCTGGATTTCTGACTTTTCCTGTAAATGTACTTCTTCAATCATTTTTTTTTCTTAATCATCAGCAAGATTTGGCATGTGTAAAATGTTATTCTATGATTTCTACATTCTCTATTGGATTACCTTTTCTTGGGATGGGCACAAAACATCAATCTTTTCCAGTAGGCTGACCTTCCAAATTTCTGGAATTCATAAATTTCTGATTTATGAGTTTTTATCTATGGTTGGTTATTATTCTATCAGAGAAGCTTGGTGGAGCAAGAGGGGGGGGTATATATGTTGAGCTGTTATCCAAAACATCACAAGTTCAAACTTATCAGTATTCTCATCCTAAAAAATTCAAAGACTATGGAACCAAATGTAGGGAACTTATAAGTAAGAATCAACTCAGTCAATGGAAATGAATTTGGTTTTTTGAGTCTGAGTAAACAATTAAACACTTAACCTGTTAATGAAAAGACTGAGAGTTTTTTGGTTGGCTCATTGTTTTTTAAAAAAATTTAAACACACCATAAACAGCATTTATTACCTTGGTATATCATTCTGGTCTTGTTAATGTTCTATCTTCCCTCCCTCCTCCCAGTCTGGCTGTACAGTGCATCCTTGGACTGTTAGCCCACAGCAGCAACTCAGTTTATTCTATGTTTCTAATATTCATTCAGAGGGTCAAAGTTTTGGTCCATAAATCCTTCTTTATAGGAAGTTCAGTGCTTGTGAAAGAATTTGTAATAAACCAGGCATCCTAGAATGATCTCCAGTAAGATGACAATAAAAAGCAGCAGTTTATTGGTCACCACTTTTCTGGACATTGACCAGAGAATCTTCCGACTTTTGTTCAAGTTTTCATTTGAGTTTACCAGTCTGTCTTGGTACGTTCCAGCTGGTGCCGTTGCCCACCCCCCTCAGTTCCTCTATGATTTCCGAGCCAATCTGGTAAGTCTCCATGGCAATTTGATGAGAATGCTCAATACTCTGGGTGGACCGGTTCAAGCTGTCAGTGCGTTGCAGAAACAACGCCCTTTGAGACTGTAGTCAATTCACGGGTGTACTTGTTCTCCACAGCATAAGTAATGAATTTCAGGTCTCCTCGGCCCCCAGGTGTGGCTGTCAAAGGTGTGCTTCTCACTTCCCAATGCAGTTTGACAAGGTCTTTCCAGTAGGTTCGAAGTTTGAACATCATGGGACTATGGAAAGACAACCTAGTTTTTCCTCCATCTCTGCCAGCGTTTCATTACTTTCTTGTTTTTCATCAATATCTCTGATCAACTTCTTCTCTTTGGTCCCACTGTCCCCGGCAGCTGCTCGGGCACTCCCTGTAGATCCTCATGGAGGACACCGAAGATCTCATGCGGCTTCTCAAAATGCTTGGAGGAGGCATCAGAGGTGGCCATGGTGCAAGGAATACTGACGAGGTGGCCACTGAGAATCTGGGCGCGACGCCTGCTCCTATGCGGGCTGTCAGCCTCCCAGCCCCACAGCTATCACAGCCGCCACAGTCCAAGACTGACAGTTTTAATTGACCTCAGAAGAAAGGTGGTTTGAACGTCACCTTGGAGGAAAGCCTGTTGATCTCACAGATCACACCACTGAAGCACGAGGAGCACAGTTCTATTCCATAACACAAGTGCTTGTCAGGAGCTGGAATCACGCTGACACCTGCTTTGGTGTATTATTCTCTCATCGCCCTCTTTCTATCCACATCGTCTAAATTACATTTACCAATTCAATAAACACAATCCTGAATAACTTCTTGTTAAGACAGATAACTAGCCTTTTCCTAATAGCATTTCCTAATAACCTAAGACACTGACCTAAGATGCATTTTGAGTTAACAATAAATGACCCTAAAAACTCTGGATTTGTCTACACATCTCATTAATAATACATCAAATTCAATGAAGATTTCAAAAACCACAGTATAAGTAAATAAAAAAAATAAACTGAAAAAGAAAAAGTAAATTGAAAGTATCCTGATGCAACTCTGCAAGCATGAATAGCCATATACTAGAAGCTGTTTCAAACAATTCCATTTTGTGGATTTTATCTCTAATCTTATTATTTGTTACATTATATATAGAGTTTTTAAAAAACTAAAAAAGAAAAAACAAATGAAGGGTTTTTTTTTAAAAAGGTATGAATACAGCAAGCGAAATTCTAGTTATTTCTTCTGTATTGCCTTGAATATAATGCCCAAGATACTTACTGCTGGTTTTTTTCATTTAAGGTGTTCATGCCCTGGAGATCAGACAAAGGTGTCCTAGGATTTTTCCGGGTTATACCTGGAATATCAAAAGTGAAAATTTTAAAAGCAGTATAAAGAAAAATTAATAAAAATAATGTTTTCTCAAGACAAGTGAAATAATAAACTTCAGTAGTAGTAATCTGTTATAAACATAAAAAATATACAATTAATAATAATAATAATACAAACAATTCCTATGATTGTCATATAAAAATGTGACTTGTCTAACAGTACACTGAATAAGAGAACTAGATCTTATTGAAATATTAACATTTGGAAATACAATTGTGCTGAAGGTCTGTAAGCATAAAGTTTTCATTTGTACAATAAAAATTTTTCTAATTTGAATTTTTAACATTATTTTTAGAAATATACTGCTAATACGCATAGTAAGTTTAATCAATTAATCTTACTGATGATTCATTTCCATCAAGTAAAAGCCAACTCATAGTGAACCCATCAACAGGTTTTTAGCGCCTAGAAAGTACACCTGAGAAGACTGCTTGTCTTTCTCCTTGGGAGCAGATAGTGGATTTAAATCAGCTTCCTTTTGATTGACAATGCAACTTCCCCACAACTTCCTACTAGGCCACCAGAGCTCCTTTATCTTACAGACTGTTGCTGACTGCCTTCTGAGCATGACTCATACATAGTGACCCTATGAACAAAAGGCCAGAAGCTCCTCTATAATTATAGACATAGTTTCCAGAGGCATGCTGTTTAGGAACTGGATGCCACTCCTGCTTCCAAACCTGTCATAGTATGTTATTGTTATGTGTCACTGAGTCATAAAAATGGTGAAAATCAAAACTGTCAAGTTTCTTTCTTAAGGAAATTCAGGTGTCTAGTATAAATCTATTTTAACATACATCACATACACAATAACCACTAAGAGGTTAGACACATTTGAAAGGAAGAACTAAGATCATATTTATTTGCAAATAGGATCTTGCTTGTAGAAGTTCTTAAGAAGAGCACAAAAAATAATTAAAACTAAAAGACTATCTTCAACAAATTCAATCAACAATTTGAAAATAAAATTAGGACAAATCCATTTATACTAGTATAAAAATTATATAATATTTAGGAATGAATGTAACAAAAGAAGTGAAAAACTTCTACACTGAAAATAAAATTATAAGTAATTTTAAAATATTTAAATAAATGGAATGGCACTCTATGATAATGCAGTAGAAAATTTTCGAATGGGAAAAACTCCCCAGTTGATTTACAGATCAATTAAACCTTTATTAGAATGGGAAAGATGCAATGTGAAAAATAATGTATAAGAAATCTGTAAGCAAACCAGTTGTTGTTGTTGTTGTTATGTGCCGTCGAGTCGCTTGCGACTCATAGCAACCCTGTGTACAACAGCCCTAAACTCCGCTCTGTCCTGTGCCAATCGCACTGTCTCTGACACTCCCATCCCAATTATCCCAGTCACTGAATCAATCCACCTCACAGAGGGCCTTCCTCTCCTGCGCTGTCCCTCCACCCTCCCAAGCATGATGTCCCTCTCTAAGGACCGGTCTCTCCTCACAACATGTCCAAAGTATGTTAGATGGAGCCTCAGAATCCTTGCCTCCAAGGAGCCACCTGGTTCAACCCTTTCCAGGACAAATCTGTTTGTTTTCCTAGCAGTCCATGGTATTCTCAATACTCTTCTCCAGCACCACAGCTCAAAGGCATCAATTCTCCTTCTATCCTCCCTGGTCATTGTCCAACTCTCTGATGCATAACAAGTGATTGCGAAGACCATGGCCTGTATCAGACGCACCTTAGTCTCCAGAGAGACATCATTGCTCTTCAGTACTTTGGAGAGGTCCCTAACAGCAGACTTTCCCACGGCAATGTGCCTTTTAATTTTCTGGCTGCTGGTGCCAAGACTGTTGACTATGGAGCCAAGCCAACTAAAGCTGTGTACAATCTCAATCTCTTCACCATCCATCCTGATGGTGCCAATTGGTCCAGTGGTGAGAATCTTTGTCTTCTTGACATTGAGCCTCAATAAAAAAATTTTTTTAAAAAAATGCTGTAGTAGAATCTCAGGTGATAACTATAATCAACACACATATATGAAAGAATTAGACAATTTGATATAAACATTACAGAAAAAGCAAAAAGATTTGAAATAACGAAAATAGTTTCAGAAAAAAAAATGATAGAAGAGTCACACTTCCCTATATAAAAAACCATTATAAAGATAAAGTAATTAAGTTAGCAAGGCTGATGAATGATGACAGAAAAAGAGATTAGTGAAACAGAATTTTAACTCCAGAAAGAAATCTTACATTTACACAAGCTGATTATCAATGATGGCACTAAAGACAATTCAATGTGGAAAAGACACCTACAAATGTTGCTGGGACAAGTGGAGACCCACACACAAAAGGATGAAGCTGAGGAGATGGTGATACAGTCAAACACCTCGTAATATCACTCTTACAACAAACATAAGTAAACTGGACAGAACTAAATTTGAGATCCTGAACATCAAAGGGAAGGGAGAAGAATCTGCCAAGACTTATTGCCAAGTGGAAAATAAGACTGTACAGGAAAAGGGACAGCACAAAGCAAAATGTATTCACATCCAGAGCATCTGCAACCTGGTAGAGGCAAGTAGGAGCATCTCTGCATCTATACCATGGCCAAAAAACCTGTTTCCTACCCTGTGAAAATTAAGTGTACTCAGTCCACCCTTTGCACCCTTCTCTCATGCCCACCCACCACGCCCCACCCAGCTTGCTGAACTGGAAGGAGCAGAGATAATGGGGACCCTAACCTTCTTCCCTGCCCTCTCACATGTTTTCATAAAACAGAAATTGCCATTCTGTTCCCTGAGCCAGGAGTCAGGGCTATGAAATGGATACTGCAGATGATCAAGGACTACAGACTTCAGTGTGGATTACCTCTTTTTTTTTTTGTTTGTTTGTTTATTTTTAATTTCAATGAACATCTACAGAGATTTTGGAATTACATTCATTCATTGTTGCACCCTTCTCCCCGCACAAACCCCTCCCCCCCCTTTGCTCCTCTCCTTGAAAAGCAAAACTCCCTCACTGGTACACAATCCCCATCCCGCACCTTCCCAAACCCCACCCCCTACCCCCAAATATAATCCACTCTGCAACCCTCATTGCGTACTCCTACGATAAAAATAATGGCCTAAAATATAATACTTTTAGACTATTCTCTCCCCCATAGACTTCAATGCCGTAAACATATTTCATCCAGTTTTTTTCAGTCTTACCCCCATCCTTATGTCAGCCTCATTCTACAATAGTGGCACCATATAGCATTTGTCCCTTTGTGACTGAGATACCTCACTCAGCATAATGTCCTCCAGGGTCACCCATTTTGAATAATACTGCATGAGTTCCTTGTTTTTCAATGCAGCATAGGTCCTCAATCACAGGACCAACAATGAACATTATGACAGACAGAGAAAGGACTGTAAATGTCAAATTATATCATCTTGCTTGGATCAACAATCAACACTTGGTACTAGAAGTCAGGGAATCAGGAACCATATTTCATTGGGCAAGTCCATTGTCAGGGGTCTCACTAAAATTCCCAACAGAAATGACATCTGTTTGAAGACTGAGGTGGGCATGATTCAGGCCATGGTCTTCGCAATTAACTTTTTTTTTTTATGTATCAGAGAGCTGGACAAAGAATAAGGATGAGAAAATAATTGACACCTATGAGTTGTGGTGCTGGAGAGGAATACTGAATATCCCATGGACTTTCAAAACAACAAATGGATATGTCTTGGGAAAAAGTACAACCAGAGAGCTTCTGGGAGGTCAAGGATGGCAAAGCTTCATCTTTCATACACTGCAGATGTAGCCAGGCAAGGCTATTTTTTGGAAAAGTACATCATGCTTGGAAGAGTGAAGGTCAGTGAAGGAGAGGAAGACCCTTAAAAAGATGGGGCTGACACAGTGACTTCAGCAATTGACTCTAGTGTGTCAGAGATGATGGGGATGGCATAGGATAGGACGGGGTTCAAATCTGGTATTTCTAGGGTCACTATCAGCCATAATCGAGGGCACCTGTCAACAACCACCTTCTTCTTTCCTGCCCTTTCACATATATTTATAAAATAGTACTTGCCATTCTACTCCCTGAGTGAGGGGTTCACAGACCAGGTCCACTAGTCCTTCACTAAGTTACTCATGCTGGGGAGCTGCAGATTGGCAGCACAAGCCTTTCTGTAAATCACTGGCAGAAGCCCTCAGAACAGCAGAATTCACCCCATGCCACTGCCACCTACATCAAGGAGCCAAGGACTGACAGCATACTCTCTTTGTGTCATGCTCTTCTAATGAAGAGGGGCACACTGTGTAAGCAGACACTTGTGGAGTGGCAGCATTCACCTCTGTTTTGCCCCCTGCACTGCTTCGGGTAATTGTGCCTAGGACTCATTCATCCATCTATGCCCTACAATACCCACTGAGTGGTCTTAGCCCTAAACACTCAAAAAAGTAATATGTACACACCATATCCAACCTAATGACTAGAGAGCACACTTCCTATTCCTACCCGTAGATACCAGTAAGACATATATCATCTCATTAGCAATGCCAGAAGTATATTCAGTCATCTTGAGGACCATCAAACAGAAACCTACATGATCACATAATCAGAGATGCTGTCCCACTCTTTCAAAACAGACTGTGAAAGCTCAAGGGTGGCCAGACTAGTAATGGAGTAGCAAGTGCATCTGATTACTCACTTAAATAAAATAAAACAAACAAACAAAAAACAGGGCAAAGAAAACAAATTAAAATACATAAGTAAACTAACACTTTAATGACTCAAAGTCAACAAACATTATCAAAATCACTAAAGAAGCAGGATTAAGACAGGCCCAGCAAGTGACCAAAATAAAGTACCAGAAAATCTTCCACAGGAAGAAATAATAACAGAATTGCCTGATAAGGAATCTGAACAGAGATGATTATTCAAGAAACCAGGGAAAAGGAAAAGAAAAGTCCAGGCAGACCAATAGAAGAATTCAGAGAAATTAGACAA